TCTTTCAATTCTGTAATCTTTTAGCTAAGTCTAGCATCAGTTTTTCATTGAAGCCCTACAATTAAGTAGCGTTTAGTCAAAATGGTCCCGGACACGCAGCGCCGCCATTCGCACCAGCAGACCTGCCAACCCTTCCGATTTTGTCGGAATTATACCAATTTTTTACTCCTCATTCCGACCCTTCCAACAAACTCCTTAAAATTCCCATTTCCCGAACATTATAATTTTTCACCTGTCGTAAAAATCCGAAAGCGGGAAAAAAATAAATAAAATTTGGTACGACAGGAAGTGGTGCATTTTGAAGATTTTTTTGTTAACTTAAAAAGAGGAGGGTGAGGATGTATCAACCTCTGAGATGTGCAAATTATGCTTTGGGCACATCAATGTGTCCAACAAGCATTATTGTTGTACTAGGCCTAAATCTGGTGTACTAGGCCTAGATCTAGGCTATTTTTATTTAATTTGGTATAGGCTAAACTTCCAGTTTATAAGCCTAATTGGATTAAAGACTATGCCTCTCATATGCTATTCCCATTCTTGATTTTAGTGACCATGGATGATGATCTCTGTGACCTTGAGGTTTTAGAGGCTCTTTTAAATGATGAGGATGATGATGTCAGAGTTTCTTGTACCTCTGATGTACCCAATGGGACGGAAAAAAGTAAGTATAGTATCTTATTTCTTACTTAATGAGTTTGGTACTTCACTTAGCAGTGTGCAAATATGAGAAGCAGACTATTCCCCTGTGACGGAGTCAATTGAAAGATTTACTTTTTTGGCTTCTTAACTAGACAATGAATCTATCAATAGCCTTTTTTGCTTGCTAAAGACTCAAAATTAATAGAAAATGAATCCAGAGACCCATATAAGTCATAGGTCCTACAAGTTAGATTTAACACAAAAAAAAACTCAGAAAGTTTCAGCTAGATTCAGATTGATTATACAAAAAATAAACACATGAAATATTTACCGTAAGTGGGAAGTAATTCTAATTTGAGAGTTATGTCCCTTAAATTATAAAACAATTGATTCGCGTGTATAATATTAATTTTAGAAGAAGCTGACAATATTGGCAGTAACACCACAAAATCAGCCAAAACAATGTAAAAACAATGTTTGAGTTTTAATCTTTTGGATCTCATTTATGAATTGGGAAGTCAAAAAGCTCAATTTCATCTAATACAAATTTCTTCGAAATAAATGATGAATATGTTAGCTGCAACTGTCATCATTTTCCCATTTCTTTTTTTAAAGTACTAATTTAGTTAATAACACACATAAGTACATGTTCAATTTATCTCATTTTAGCTTGTGGAAAATGAATCAAGTGTCATCGTATTTTGTAACTGGAAATACATATTACTTCCCCTGGCATAATATGGACTTAGGTTTTATGGTTTTAGGCTGTTTTTGGTGAAAAATGCAATTTACACATTTCTTTAACTAACGGGGACAACTCTTTCAGCTCTCATTAAGATTGTTCAAATAGGCACATTGGCTGATGAATCAAAATTTCGAGATGCTAAATTATATTTGATAGATTAAGTTGATATTCATGTTATTAATTTTTCCGCGCTTTTGGAGTCAATTCCTTGCATTTTTAAACTAGTCTGAACTTCGCAGACTCATGATGGCAAGTGTCTTAAAAGCAACATTCTTTCCAATTCACTGCTTTGCTATTTAATCATGATCTCAAAAGGATCTTAACACCTTTCCTAGGTACTAAATCAGCATTCCCCAAACTTTTAAGTTTCACGGACCGGTGAACAAGTTTCGAAACTGCACCAGGGACCGGTGCCAGATTTATTAATTACATTTTCTTTCTATTTAAACATTAATACTCATGCTCTCTGGACTGGTAACGTAAGGCTTGCGGACCGGTGCCGGTCCATGGACCACCGTTTGGGGAATGCTGTACTAAATGATATCCATTGGAGTGCTGTATCATACAATTTGACTCATAAAACATAGTCATCATAGGAGGGACTCTCAATTATTAAAGGATTTGGTGAAAATTTGTAAAAAAAAAAAAAAAAATTACCATGTGACGAGATGTAGATCTTAGTGTCGAATGTTCATCTAACCTTTTGTTATGTAGACGAACTGTTTTCCTCATATTTCCCCATGCTATGAACTCTAGCAAACGAACAAGCTCAAAACCTCATTTAAGGTGTGGCTAGCTAAAAATAGTCTCTTGGCCTTGTTTACTAACAACTAAATAAAATGAATCGTTTGTTCTGATATAATTTTGTGGAAAGGTCTGGAGTAAACTGGAAAGGAAAACATTATGTAAGGCGTTTCCAGATGTTTTAGTGGAACAGACTATAAAAGCGAGAGAGCATTTTACCACGAGAGATTTTTTTTACATTATGGGACGACACATGAGAGTTTATTTTTATAGTGTGGTATTCTTGATAGAGCTGTGTTTACTTATAAGTGTGAATTCCTATTCATCGTTGTATCTTCTTTTGGCACATTGTAATTTTATCCACTTTTTGTACCGGTACAAGAAACACGATACTCTGTAGGTTAATGATTTTATTTTGTAATCTATTAGTAACTAAATAAAACTTATTAATTGTAGTTAGCACTGTTTTGAGTGTCATATTCTTTGCTATTTTATTTCCCATATGGTATCGTCTTTTGTTATGCACTATTTAGAACGAGCCATAAACTTAAAGTAAGAGATTCATTTCTCCCTATAGACGGCATTGCGTAACACTTTGATGTCAGATGCTTACTTCTTGGATACTATTGTCTCTCACTTTGTCACACAGACTAGTGCAACTGATACCAATACACCAGACACTGAATTTCTTGTTGCACGCTATAATTTTATTATAAATCATCACAACATGAGTAATGTAGGCCTATACTGTACTAAAAATCCAATTTGTTAAACAAATCAAAGTACTTCTTTAATGATACATCCAGCCGAAATCTTCACACCAAACTTTACCGTGAATATAAAACAATGGCCATCAATCCCCACATAACAACAAAACAACACATCATTTCCCTTTACCCAAATACGTCACAACTATCTTACACAATAGATATAGCTCACATATAATCCTTTCCATACCAAACATAACAGCAATGATTCTCATACCCTTGACACCTTGCCAGATATGAAAACGTTTTAAAATTTTCTTATTATTTTCCTAAGTAATATTTTTTTTCTTAATTGACAGCAACTACACCTGAAGCTATATCTACTCAAGCACTGCAAGAAGAAATGATGAAGATGCAGGCCAAAATGATGGAGCTTCAAAGGCTTTTAGAGTTGCAAAATGTCAAGCAAATGAGTAAGCCAGCTCAGAGTGATGCCTCTGGCACTATTCATAAAAGTAATTCAGAAGGAAAAAGTAAACAGTTTTCAACTTCTTCTTCACAAAAAGTCTGGCAAAGTCACTCTCCATCTACTGAAGGAAATGGAGTGCAACAAAACATTGTAACAAATAAACCATGCTTGACACTACTTCCTGATTCTGATGATAGCATTTTTTTAAACAGCAACAAGACATTAAATACGTCTCTCAAAAATGTGATCAATCAAAATATTCCTGGGGGTAAACCCACAAAACAAAGAAACAGTGGAACAAAACAAAACAAAATGGCAGCTGAACTCTTTGGAGATAGTGACAGCGACTGGGAAGATTTGGATGGAGAAGATAAAAGAACACTTAGTGAGGCTGGAAAAGATTTGAAAAGGATAATGCAATCAGGGGAAAAGAAAAGAGAGGCTCATCAGGCAAAATTTGAAATAAGCAACACTTCAACTAGTGGTAATTTTCTCTTTTTCTTTATTTTAATTATTTTAGTTACTGTCTTCCTTAACTCATTCCTGACGGTTGCGACTAAATGCGTCCTCGGGGGGTTTCTCCTGATGCGTCCCGGCGCATAGCGACACACCTCTCTTATTTTTAGTTAAAAATAGCAATGAAATCTCGCGTCCCTCGAGACTTCCGGCTATGGCATGATTTTTGCGTGATTTTAATTTAGAAACCGGAAGTTTTTATCTTGTTTCACTTTAAGACTACGTGTGCTTTAGTAGGCGCATCTATATGTAGCATGTGTTCGTCCGAGGTGCCCAAAATCGATTTTTTTGACCATTTTACGTTATTTTTTCCCCGCTGTTATATTTATATTAAACCTTATTCATTTATTGTTGCATTTGTTATTAATTCATTAACATAAAATAATATTTAGCAACTTAAAAAAAAATTTAAAAATATCAATCAATTTCAAAACTGAGTTGCTTCCCTTTTCTCAGGAAAATAAATTAAGTCCGGAAGCAGCGCTGCCGGAGGGAATGAGTTAATTTACACCATCTGTTTAATAGCTTATTTTGCTTTCCCATTGTTTATAATTATCTTATTATATAATTTTTTCTTATTTACAACATAATACCTTTATCAGAATTAAAATAAAATTTGCCTAAAGATGTTTTTTCCATTATATGACTACATTATACATGTAAAAATAATTTGAATAAAAAATAAAATATATTAATTCATAGATTTTTTTTTTTATAAAAAAAAATTTAGTTACCGGTATTTGAAACATACTTGACAAATATTTTGTCATTAAATAAGTCTAAATCTATTCCTGTCTTAACATAAATGATCTGCACCAAGTTTCAATGAGTGCTCACATTTGGCCTGTCCTTGTGCAGTTTTTTTTAAGCCTTATTGATATGAGGCTCTGCTCGTTGTAGCAAACTCCTCCGCTTTGTTTGATATCAAAAAGCAAGGGACCCAAAAACCAAGATTTTCAATAATAAGATTTTAAAAATATGTAGAGGCAGTGTTTTAAATTAAACCAAAGGATATTGATAGATAGATATATATTTACTATCCTGATATTTGAATCATGTTTCTTGAAATATTTTTATTCTTCCTTTCTGAACCCTTAAATCAGGCACATGGACGAAGACCTCATCTCAGGCAGAGTTACCAAAGAGTAATAAAGATCTAGGCACTGAACACAAGAATAACCATTCTTTGCAATGTAAAACTTCTTCAAGTGACCACTCTAAACCTGTGGCTGTTGTTGCTGTGAATGAACACATTTATGTTGATGCCTTTTCAAAGATAAGAATTGTTAATCCTCTGATTTCAACATCACTGATGAAAACACGGATGGAGGGAAGAAAAATGATTAGTGTTTCCAAAATACATCTAAAATTAAAAACTCCAGACCTTCAAGGGGACTGGGTAACAATAGCTGCTGTTGTTGGTAAAACCGATTCCAAGTCTTCTAGTTCTGGTAAGCCATACTCTATATGGAAACTCAATGACCTGGAAGATCTAGATAATTCAGTAAGCTTTTTTCTTTTTGGAGAAGTTCATAAACATTTATGGAAGACAGATTTAGGCACTGTTGTTGGTGTCCTCAATCCATCAATAATGGATTCCATGGAAAAAAGTAATAGTGAACCTGCATTCACTATAAAAAATGTCAATCAGCTCATGATAATGGGTAAATCTAAAGACTTGGCCTGGTGTGTCGCTAGAACCAAGGCAGGTAACAAATGTGTCAAGTTTATAAATAAAAAGCATGGAGACTTCTGTGCCTATCATGTTGCTGCTGAATATAGAAAAACCTCAGCTCAGAGGTTGGAACTTCACGGAAGTATTGCTGGTGTAAGACCAAAATCGTTTGAGAGCAAAGTTTTCTCGAAAGACTGTGCTTACATTTACGGTGGCAAAGTGTACTCTCATCAAAAGAGTTCTTCAGCTAAGAAAAAGGGGGTCACTCTTACTAAACTTCAAAATACCCTTAGCCAAGGCAAGCACCAAAAGATAAACACACTCAGCATCAATAACATCAAACCAGAACCCCTGACACCTAAACAAACTGGGAGAATAAAGGAAGATCCGGACGATACTTTCTTGGACCTTATTTCTGTGCCCAGCCCTGGCTCTATGAACCTTGTTGCATTCTTAAAGAATAAAGACAGCAAACGCCTGGTTGCAAGTAACTCAGATTTGAAGAAAGGGGCCAGTGTTGTGGAGGTAACTGCAAAAGACCTTATTAAGCAGCATCAGCAGTTAATGAAACAAAAAAGACCAGAGAAGCGAAAAGCTTCTGACATTTTGATGGATAGTTCACCAGTAACATCAATGGCTGGATCCTCAGGAAAATCCCCACCAGGCTCACTAATCACAGATCCTCTTAAACAGGTGCCAACTTTGGGTAAAGGATTTTACCACGGCCAGGAGATCACACTTGATGTTATCCCTAGAACTGTGAGTCTTGCTGACAGAATCAAGGTAAGAAATTTCAAATTCAATTTTTGGTTGTTGCATGTTATTGCTTGTGCTTAAAAAAAGGTGTTTATCATAAACCCCAAGCCATACATGGGTATGAAGTAAGTTAAAAATGCTTGTGTGTAAGGAAAATCATTTGGGAGGAGATGGGGTAGTGGATAATCAACAGCCTAATTTAATAACTAGGAAATAGAACAAGATATGTTTAAGCTTGAAATTGTAAACAGGATGATCAAATGGATGTTTTGGTTTGATGCATTCGTCAGCAGACAAAACAAACAACAAAGAATGAGAAATTCTAAGACTAAGCTTAGCCGTCATATGTTATAAATGGAAGATGTATAAAACTAAAAACTAAATGTATGTGCTACCAAAGAGATTATGTACAAGAAGTTTAAGAATTTAGGTATTGTAATGTGAAAAGCTGAATTCTTTTATTCGAAGTAGAAATTTTTTTTAGAAATATAGCGGAATTTAGGACTAAAAATATTTACTTTACACAACCTGTCACAGTCCTTCATATATATCTTTATATTAAATGATTTTTGAAAAAATGTATTGGATTATTGTCCTTGCAGTTGAAAGCAGTGGCTGCCATTAAACAGAAAGGAGGACTCAAGAAAGAAGATCCTAATGCTGTTAGAAAAGAAGAATGCTCAGATGTTGATAAAATCAGGAAGAGGGCTCAAGATGAATATGGTAAGTATTTAACTGTTAAAAAGATTATTTCCTCAAAATAAATATTGACATTTAAATTGAAAGCCCATTGCTTAAATCATAAACATGAGTTGCATTTATTTTGTGTTTAATTTCTCTAACAGAGAAAATCTCTTCTGAAGTGCCTTATGGAGTTTCCAAGTCAGTTAAGGAACCACCAAAGAAAAAATCAAGGCTACTTGGTGATGTTGATTTAAACTCGGATGATATCAAGAGTATACTAAAGGCTAAGTCAAAACACAAAGGGGCATTAGCAGAGGTCAGTGATGGTCAAAGTGACAGTGATAAGTCTCTCAATTTCACAAATCGAACCTATGGAATCCATGGGCCTGTGACAATGATCTGCCATTATGACAGTTTGTGGGTTACACTCAATTGGAATAGGATTGTTCTTTGCAACCTTAAAGCTCTTTAAATTTCTTCAAATTTTCTTCTTTTTTTTTTCTTTGAGATTTTTTGTGACCTTAAGAGTCTATAATTTTTACAAATGTCTAATTTTCTTGAAGTTATATATCATTTTGTAGGGAAATGCGTGAGGCTTATATATAAGTTAAAGGCTTTCATATAAGTTCAAAACTGTAAAGTTGTGAGAAGAAAAATGGATACTTTTTTAATGAAAATGTGTAATAAATTGTTTTGATGATCATATGCAAAGAAGAAAAAAAAACAACAACTTGGAATTATTTAATAAAATCTGTTTATTCTGAAAGAAAATTAATTTTTGTATGTCATATGTTTTTGGAACATTTTATGAGCATTTGACCAAAATATAAAAGATTTGAAAAAATTAGTCAAAATGGGAAAATATCGTATTTATTGGCGTATCACAAGCACCATTCGCACCGCTATGTGGTATGTACTATGGGTCCTTAACAGGCACACATCATTTGACCCCTATTTTCAGGGAGAAAAAGTGCGTGTTATACGCCAATAAATACGGTAAATAATAGTCCACGAAGTATTCACAATAATTACCGGTTATTATTTTACCTGTTTAAAATTATATACACATTACAAAAAATATCAGTAGACAATTTTAAACTTCATCTTGTTTTTTAAAAAACAAAGGTAACTTCACATATGCTACTTTGATCATGGATTAAAAAAAAATTTTGGCCTCGCTAAAATATAGCTAACTGTACAATTTCTTTTTAAATCTGTGCATTCAAGAACTAATGGATGTAATCTATTGTATTTTGTGTTATTTACGTTTGAGGCACTTTGAGCATTATTAGTTATAATCCAACTTATACTCAATTTCCTCAGTGAAATCAATTGAGAGTTAAATATTAGGTGGCATTAGTTCATCCATGTTAGGATTTTCGTTTCAACACTCCTGAAGAGATTATAGCTGGAAATATAAACAAAATGGATAAAAACGTTTATCTAGTACCGTTTTGTTTTCCTTAGGATGATATATTAAATTATCTACTGGTCAACACCATACATGAAGGAATTATATGATTTAACTCTGTATGGTTGTCTCACCAATAATTGCCTAAATACACCATCAGTTTTGGTTCCGTTAGCAAAAGAAAATCCATTTGCTGTCTTATAATTTGAAATAGTTATCTTCATCAGAAGATTCAGATAGATATTTGTTGATATTTTCATAGTGATTTTATTTAAATAATTGAAATGTACAGGATTTCATAATAATTTTGATGTATTGTGGGTTCGAGAAACATATTAAAGCAACAGAACATTTTTGTTTCTCAAACCTGCAATACATCAAAATTATTATGAAATCCTGTACATTTCAATTATTTAAAAAAATGTTCTTCCAATTCTACTATGAAATAAATATAGAATAAAAGACACAATTTTATGAGCGAAAATAACCTACTATTATAAAGTTGCACTCTGAATATAAGAGGAAAGAAAAGAGTTGATCATTTATTTTAGTGCAAACACTAATAATTAAAACTATTTTCAAATTGATCCCAGGCTGAGGCTGAAAGAGAGGAAGTTTACTTCAATGAGCTAGAAAAGAAAGAGAAGTTGGAGGAAAAACTACAGAGTGTGACGTCAATTGAAATTAAAGTGTATACTTGTAAGCAGGTAAATACAAAGATGTAAACTATTATAGTAGTGAAAGTAAATTACACGAAGGATTTTATAGTGTGCTTCTGATATTTGTTGAGGATTTTTAAATTTGAGTTTTCAAACAAGGGGCCATAAATGACACCACAAAATTTTTTTTAAAGTTTCCTTTCCTCTGCTTAGTTATATGCTTAAATTCAGAGGGTAATCTCGTCCGATCTGAGGTTGGCATTTTTGAAACTGGTGCCGATCAAGTAAGCGTCGCTTCCGCCTCCATCTCGCCTCTATCTCCCCCCCCCCACTCGACCAGCAGGGATATGCCAATGGGACGGCAGCAGGCCCGTGCCGGCCTCCAGATTTTAATCAAGTAGCCAGACCTGCTTTATATGCTTAAATTCAGAGGGTAATCTCGTCCGATCTGAGGTTGGCATTTTTGAAACTGGGGCCGATCAAGTAAGCGTCGCTTCCCCCTCCATCTCGCCTCTATCTCCCCCCCCCCCCACTCGACCAGCAGGGATATGCCAATGGGACGGCAGCAGGCCCGTGACGGCCTCCAGATTTTAATCAAGTAGCCAGACCTGCCAACCCTTTCGATTTTCTCGGAATTATACGGATTTTTTACCCCTCATTCCGACCTTCCGACAAACCCCATAAAATTCCGATTTTCCGAAAATTACATTATAATTTTTCACCCGTCATAAAATCCGATAGCGAAAAGAAAAAAGAAAAACGGGTCCAACAGGAAGTCGTGCATGTCGATAGCACCACTTCCTTTGTTTTGATCGAAGCGAACCGCGAATTCCATTCTTCATTCATCAATTGATCCGATCGTGACTCATCCTTAGTTTTACTAGGCTTACAGTGGTGTTGTGACTTTTTTTTTTTTGCATTAAGCTTTACTTTTCTTATTAAATGGATAAATTTGTAAAGAGAACTGCTGAAAAAGCTTTTCCAGTGACCGAGGTTGATAGTGATAGGGCTCCTAACAAAAAAAAACCGGCATATTTTACGTTTTCGAAAGGAGTATTCGGAAAAAACACTCATTTATTCGGCCATCACCCCGTGGCGAAACATTTGCATTCTGCAATCTGTACCAGACCCACTTATCTATTGAAAGTGGGGGGTGCAGACCTGTTTACTCTTACGATTTTGGCGTACAATGTACGATTTTTAGATGTCTTTTACGATTGTACGCCAAGACCTTCAAAAACTACGATTTTCAGAGACCCGGTGGAAAAAAATTTTCCCAGATTTAAAAAAATTATAAAATTTTGGGTTTGGACGTTTTAGCCCTCTAATGAAGATCTGGCAGTGAATATGAACAAGAAAAACGATTGGTTGTATTATTATTTTTTTTTTAAAGTTGGGATCATCCTTATTATATTTCGAAAGTACTCATGGCGAGTGGGGATGTGGGGTTGTTGATTACGGAAATTTGGGCATACGAGACACGCATGGGTAGGGGATTGGTGGGAGTGTCAGAAGATATAAATAAATAGCAGCGACGCATCGTATTGATGGAATTGATGGTGATTGTCGTATTGCTGCTTTGTGTGTCACAGTCCCAGTGAACTAGCTGGCTGCGTCAACAGTAATATTTTGATTTCTTAGCGACAACTTCACCCGCCATCGCCTTTAACTGCTACCAAGCGTGTGACGTAGTTTTGTTACATAATTATTTTGTTCCTCAGAACCGCGGCAATTATAAAAATAGAGATGGTTTTTACAATAAAATAGATCATCCAACTGTTCTGCAGTGGAGCGTTGGATTTTGGCATATTTTATAAGATCCAGTCACCGACATTTACAAAATACTTTTATAACTCGCAAATCAGCTCTATGCCTTCAATGATTTTAATACAACAGTTTGGTATCACTACCAGGGTTTCTTTCAGCTAGATCTGGGGGGGGGTTCTGAAAAAATCATTGATCACTACTATTAACACAGCTTGCAGTAGTTAGACTATAACAGTGGTCGGCAAAGCGCGACTCGCGAGCCGCATGCGGCTCTTTAGCGATCAGCTCGGTCAGCCGGCCACAAACGGTTTTGACTCCCAAAAAGAAATGTGGCTCTCAAACAAATTTTAATTGCCCTGCTGGTGTTTTTTTATTATTTTTTGATTATGAGTTTGCCCCGCACCACTGGACTCGAGCGTGTTGACGGAACAAATCAGGCGCCTTTTGGGTAGGCGACGGCACAGTTTTTTCCCTGTAATGAGGGTGGGGGATGGTTGGAAACAATAACGTCACAGCACGGAAAGACGTGTTGTCACCATATTACTGCTACAGTGGTTTCTTGATGAAAACACAAAGCATTAGTAAACGATGGTTTACTGCGAAACACTGTGGTGATGTTTTATAGCCTTAATAATAATAATTAATAATGGGCCTAATTGGAATTCATGGCCTTCACATATTTTCAGGTGACAGTTGGCTCCATAAGAGACTGTCAGGATAATCATTGAAGAAATCATGCATAAATGTAGGTGCAGTCTGCTCCCCCCCCCCCCAACTTTCCCATCAAAGCTGCCATGCGCATCCTCAGCGTGGACGTAGTAGTTGGATAACTTTACGTTGACAAGGTGGGGAGGGGGGTTATGAATATTTTTACATTTCATATATGGATGTCCCATTGTCCCAACATCCCTGGCGTTCGAAGTGGGCTCCATAGACGGATGTGCACATTGCGGTATTTTAATGTTACCGGCGAGCTTTTTTGTTTTCGTTACCGTAGTTGAGCATGCACAATGCATTACGATATGGCATCAATAAAATGAAAGGCACGTGAAACCGATGATGAAGAAGGAACTTCAACTGAACATCAGATTCAGCAAAAGAAATTTTATTCGCTGATATCCTATCTTGAATGTCAGACAAAATTGACTGAGTTGCGTTCTTCAAATAAGGGTCCATCAGACGTAAACAGCACAGTCGGACTTTTCATTAGCAATCAATCAGAGATAAAAGGAGTGGTGTTGATTTAAGAGATTGTGTGCATGGAGCCGGTCTAAGTATTTCAATTTATATACTCAACACCGCCAAATTTTCGTAATGACAGTTCGGATGTTTGTGTGCGTGGTTGGGGGGGGGGGGGGTGTCCTCGGCAGAAAGTATGTGCGTTATTTAAACAATTCTGCAACATTCATCCCGAAACTCTGAAAGTCCAAAAATAACATTTCTATCTCGAATGGTGTAAAATACCAGCCAATGTGTAGTAGGCATTAGAGTCGTGATGCTGTCAAGGGGTATTTTCACAAATCAACTGGCTTGCTATACTCAATAGTGGAAGAATTACAGTACAGTGTTGAGTCTACCGAATTTTCAACGCGCGTGACGTGTATTTCGTTGGGCTACGCCAGTGGTTCTAAAGTATTTGTTTTTTCCGGCGCCTGTGCAATATTAGGTTTTACCAGGCGCCTTGTGTGACATTCTAACAAGTGCACTTGGACATAGCGAATACCAAAATAAAATAAAGGGTGGGATACAAATAAATATAACACATATGTAGGTCACTGACCGCCATCTGTAGCTACAAACAGTAGATACTCAACTGGGTAACTGGACCGAAAGATGTCACATTGGATTAAAAGTAAAAATAAAATTATGAAATTTTTTTAATATTTCGCAACGCCCCTGTGAGGAAGCCGTTTTAAAAAATTTTCCCCCCCCCCCCCCCCCATTTAAAAGGACAATTTATTGCGCCCTTAATCTTTGTGTAAATGGTTTTTTATGGTTGAATTGACTGTTTAAGTTCCTTTCTATGGACGATTTTCACGCTGTTGCTCTTCGTTATATTCTCATGGCCCTGCCCAAGGACAGCGAGCACCCAGGGCGATGTAGTCCGATGTAGCATATATTATGTGAACCACTGGGCTGGACGAATCACCAGTGGTGAAACCCATGTCACATTTTGTTTACTGTAACATAATATGTAATGGACTTTGCTAATTTTTTATTATTGTAATTAAAGGAAAAGAGGGGGGGTCGTAAAAACTTCTGCGTGCAACGGAAAGGGGGGGGAGGGTTTACATAATTAGTCTTTATTGCGTTATTGTAGTTTTATTTATTTACTATTGAGATATTGTATTGTACGATTTTGAGACCAGATTGTACGATTTTATGGGTTTGAGGGTAAACAGGTCTGGGGGTGCAATGACATTAATAAACATATCCACACAGCAATGCAGATGCTGAAATAATTTGCTGAAATAATTTTTTCCTTTGTCCATCATTGTGAAGAAAAATTACAATGCAACTAGGGCAAGCATGAAAGTTGATACTCTTTCTAACTTGGTTGTAACTAAAATCAATTACAAGTTGTCAAAAGTTGTCCAAAGAGCTGTTGGACAAGTGCAAAAAGGCCACTAGGGATATGCTGGAAAACTGAACTCTTAGTTAGCAGCCTGTGTGCATATGTAAATAAAATGGATCTTCTGTATACATATGCATATAAAAATTTCCAGTAAAGTTTCTCTCATGCTCTGTGGACTCTTCAAAGACACTTGAGGTGACTTTACATTTCTTTATTTACTAAACAAAAGGCTTGTGCATTAGTTTACAGATTTTAAGCCAATGCGCCCCCAGCCCCGGTTGGCGCGCCCTGGGGGGCAGCGCCTCCCCTTTACCCCCACATGCACCGCCCCTACAGATTTTTTTTCTTGGCAGGTTGGCAGGTTTGAGTAGCGAGCCGGGTCCTGGATGCGGTAGGGAGAATGGACTTAATGTGACTTCACATTGCTTCAACCTCCCCCCCCCCCCCCCAAAAATTTGACCACCCCTCCCCATTCTGTACGTGTGACATCATTCATAGATTTCACCCGAGTCAGCTTCTGGTTGCATTTAAAAAAATTGTAATGAATTGCCTTTTGAATTATTTCCAGTGTTCATATACAGCACAGTCGGCTCTAGAATCATGTAAACAAGAAAACCATACAGTTGTCACTAGCAAATCCAAGAAAAGATTTTTCATGTGTAAAAAATGTAAAAACAGGACCTTTGTAATTGGAGGGAAATTTCCAACAGAATCTTGCAGGTAAGTTGACACCTGAGAACACTGATGAAAGAATAAAATCTAATGGAGTGAAGGTAACGAAATGAAGTTATACATTTTCCCATCTGGGTCCATATGACTTGCTTTTTTTCCTCTTTCACTGTTACTTTTTGTAAGATGCTTGCGATGGCTTCAAGGCTATAAATGTAATGCTGATTACTGATTATTATTTTCTACTGTATGTATTGTTTATTTTAACTATTTTCATTATAAAATCTGCAGAAATTGTGGCACTCTGTCTTATGAGAAAACATCCATGTATAAGGTAATTGATAAAAGCTTTCATGTATTTTGGTTTGTTGTTTTTTTACACTGTACAATTAATTATATATTATTTCTAGCCACAGATGACTTTGCAACAAAATCTACGTTTAAAAAATCTTAAATGTTACTTCTTGTATTTACTATTCCGTCTTCCTTTTTTTTTTTTTTTTTGGTGTAAATTCTACAAATTCATTTCTGTTTTAAAAATATCTTTTATTAAATATTTTGCAATGGGTTTAGCTGTATTCAACGTTACTTATTATATAAATTATCAACAGGTGCGGTCTGGACCAAAGCTTGATTCTGAGGTTCTTAATATTCGTGGAGATGAAGTCAAGTTCCTCAGTAGTATGGACCAGAAAGTTTTCTTAAACACTGTCATTGACTAGGTATTTTCTTGAATGCTGAATAGGATCTTGTATTGCTGTGATAAACATCAGGTAACTTACTTATTGATGCACTTGTTGATGTCACTGTATTAATCTAACTTACACTCCTTCTAGCTCATTTATACAGCACTTTGACTTATCGGGGGTCATCTTTTGGGCTGATCAATATTATCATTTTATCACGGAGTAATTTTATTAAAAAAACTTATTTTGTAAAAAAAGCTTAAAATGCTTTGGCTATTTTCTATTGCTGTCAACCATTGATTTTAATGTTTAATGTTCAATACTGTTTCACCAAATTTATTTTAAATCTGTTGATTCATTCATTTTCCATATTCCCATATTCATTATTTATTTCAAAATAATTACTTGAATGCTGGTAAAGTGGAAAATATTAAATCTCCTGATTTATTTCAAGCTGTGCTGCATTTGAGGCAGGTGCCAGAATTTCCCTCATGGGTCCCAGGTCCTCTAGTCCTTTCTCCTCACATCGCCCACTTTTTCTTTTATTGTCTTGTCTTTTTAAATATAAAGATTTTGGCATCACCAGTGGGATCCTTGGCTGGATTCATTTAAAGGGGTAGGCCACCAAAAAAAATTTTTTTTTAATTAACCAACTTAGAGCAACTATTTTATTATGGTCATGTGTAGCTATGAATGGAGATATATTTTCATGCTTTAAAAGAAAAAAATTATATAGTTGCAATGGCGGCCATCTTGAAAATAGCATCTATTCGTAGAGTTCTACAAATTTAAAAACAAACATACATATTGCTTAAAAAATGATTGTTTAATTTTTTTTTTTTTTTTAAAAATTTGCCTCGTCGGAAAACACTTAAAATTTAGCATCCTAAGAATATAAAAAAATTATTTAAAAAAAAGTTATTGACCAAATTGACTTTTGAATAGCACATTACCCACAAAATAGTTAAAAGAAGATGCCCACCAAATTTTATAACTCGTAGTTTGTATATTAGCTGAGATTTTAGAACTATGTTACAAAACAAAAAAAACAAACAATTTTGAGAAAAATAAATTTTAAACTTTCAAAGTGAAAAAAAAAAAAAATGTTTATTATAGAAATATGGGGATGTTAAATTTTTTTTTTTTTGATTTTCATTTTTAACTGCAATCAGTTGTTAAAAGCCCCAGGAACATAGGTTTCATCTTCTTTAACTTTTAAAAAACAAAAAAAAAAAACAATTTTGAGAAAAATAAATTTTAAACTTTCAAAGTGAAAAAAAAAAAAAATGTTTATTATAGAAATATGGGGATGTTAAATTTTTTTTTTTTTGATCTTCATTTTTAACTGCAATCAGTTGTTAAAAGCCCCAGGAACATAGGTTTCATCTTCTTTAACTTCGTTGAGGTGTTCTCGCTCAATGCGTTTAAAAAAAATATTTTTCCTGTTCCACTTGGAAATGCCCAGTGTCCGTTTTCTTGAAGTATTGCATTTAGATTTTAACATCCTTGTTAAGAAGGTATTTGTCAACTCCTATGATCTCCTGGGTTAGTTAATATGTCAGTTTCTTTTACACGTTGATTACGTCGTACTAAAATTGAACAACTCAAGTCCTTCATCATAAAAGTTCAACTTTAATATCATATGATTAACACTCCATACACACATGCCTCGAGAGCGCAGCTCGCTATTGCCTGGACGAAATACACCCTACCTCCACACAGTTCCATTCAACACTGCCACGCAATTCAAACTTACGTCCCCACTGAGTCTAGCCTATTTGTCTCCAAGGTAATTAAGGGCGGGTAGAGGATACACTACTTATGCAGCGCTCAAACTCACCACGCGCAATGATTCATTCAGTAACTAATTAACTCCCATACTCGACAGTATTGTCCAAGTGCCCCCCATTTTAGTCCAATTTTTTCCATTACCATCTTCAGTCCCACCGGTCCACAGTTAAATGACTAAGTGACAAGTGATGTTGCAGTCTCCACTGCTGCCATGGAAGAAAACACAGTTTTAGGGCAGCGCTGCCAAATCAATGCGTTGGAACTTTCATTGGCATTCAATGTACCTATTTTGGCACAGCATTGAAGCAGACTTGACTCTTGTCAGTCAGTCTCACAATAATGGGGTAGATTATACTTCCCACTTGCGAAGAAAATGTAGGTGTGTGCTTCTGATGGACACCAGTCTTTAAACTCTCTCTGGTAGGGGCGCTTTGTCTGTACTCATATGAAAGAATCCACCCAACACTCCTTGTTTCATTTTAGAAACATCAGGGGCATTGTCTTTCTAAGTTTTCACATAGGTCTTTTTTCAATAACTGGCTTTGTTAGTTTTCAATTTAAAGTTTGTTTCTTTGATTTTTAAAAATTTTCTAAAGCATTAAACATTCTCTTTTCAATGTGATTAATACAGTCCTCTTTTGTTACTTCAATGTCATAACATTTCTGCACTTTGTTGAATGCTTTTGAATCCCCGTCACAAAGCATTGTGCCATAAATTATTTTTCTCTTCTCAACTGATCTTGGAAAGATCATCCTGGCTGCCACAGTCTCCATTGCATTGGACGAGCAATCTGCATTCATCTGAGATTTTGGTTTGTGAGTTTCCATCCAGGTTAGATATTCAAGTGAACCTGGCTTTGGCCTAACTGCACACATTTTACTATAATTGCTTAACACCTGCGTGTCTAAAACTAGGCCACTGTCGACGTCGATCGCAACGCCCACCCCTTTGTGCGATGAATAGCCTCGCTTTTGCCAAGTGCCACCATATGACACAGTGATGATGGGACAACCTGTTTAGCTTTTGGTTTTGTCTGGTTGAAGGTCTGCTACTTTAGCTCTTTCGCAAACAACACAAGCAGCTTGGCACAAATTGCTTCTTCTGCTGCTTCTTTTGCTGCTGTGCTGACAGTTTTGGACAACCTATAATAGGTTTTGTGGTGCATCTGTGCTTCAATATTCATGACTGAAAACAAAGAATGCAACTTGGCGCACCCAATACCATTGTCATTGCAACCGATAATTGTCTGTAATTTATATCGGACTGCTTATTGACTTGTGGAGATGTCCAATCTGACCACTCCGACATACAGTCTGGACAGTAAATTTGTACATGGGCAGCCTTACCATGTTTTTTTTTGTAAATAGCTGTAGACTGTGGCCTCAACAATTTGCACATCCCACTGCTGATAGAGACTGGAGGAAGCTCTGATGTAAAATTGTGTACGAGTTGTTATCAACTATTCCTTCTGTTGCATTACTGTAAACAATGAACTTCTGCTCCGCTCTACTACTGTTTAGGGGATCAGTAGTTTCTGTCATGACTGCAGGCACTGCAGGCTCATTCAAGTCAGCATCCATGGATGAACTGGAAAAAAATAGTAACACATAAACATCAATTAATAATTATTTTCATTTATTAATGTAGTTTGCTTTAGGTCTATAATCTTAAAAACTTTAAAAAAAAAAAATTGTAGTTGTATGCCCATTGAAATAAATAGCCATGAATTAATTTCCATCATCATTAAAATGAATTAATTAGCTGAGGTCTTCTTATGATTTAAATACCCGGTTATTTTGTTTTGTAATGTATGCCCCCTGACAAAAATCGTATGTGTTACAAACTTAGTCTTACTAAATAGGTTCGTTGGCTTCGTTGTCTAGGGGGTTTAATTATACACACTTCACAACTATAATTCTTATATGAAATATCTTTATTAATTAACTAATTCTTCAACTGCCATAACTGTAATCAAAGACCACACTACCACACACTCTACAATAATAAAACGTCATATCTCCTTTCGCCCAATACGCCACAAAATATTCCAAACATTTAATTACAACATCTACCCAAATACTCTCTAAACAACACGCAATCACACAATACATTCAAGTCCTTAACAATATGCTATCTAGTATTGGTAAAGTTCATCAGTCATCATGTCGCATGTAAACAACAAAAATTATCTATGTAAAATGTAAATGTAGTAATAAGTAATCTTACCTTGAATTCAAAGCTTCAGTTAGTTTCCGTGAGTGAATTCCTCTCGGTTTTTTGCTATTACCATATTGGTATCCCTTTTTAGGCATCTTGGAAGAGCGTATTATAATTTATTTCTAGAAAAAAATGTTGGTAAGCAATGCGGTCGGAAAAGAGTCAGGCTGAGAACTGAGCCGGTAGGAAGCAAAATTCGAAGGAAAATACTGGGCTGCGCATGCGTTAACAAATGGTTACTAACATTTTACTCCAATGAAAAAATTGGAAAAATAGTCGACCAATGAAATATTGTTATTTTCAATACCTTTGATGGCTTCAATATTTATGGTCAATATACTTAGCTCGCGTAGTTCAGGATAGTAAAATAGCATATGAAATTACCTTTCCGTTGATATATTATAATGGCATATTCATTGTTTGGAGGTGCAGAAAGAGAAAGATCGTTAACTGTATGTTTTAGTGCGTGTCTTTTGAACAGAACGAATACGCATGTCTGAGTAGAAGTGAAGCTGACGAAGGGGTGAATAGAAAGAAAGAAGTTTGGTTAGAAAGGAGGGCAGGAATCCAAGAAAAAGTTGTCGCAGAGAACAGAGAGTTTGTAGTCAATGCGTGCTTGTAAAAGGAGCCAATGAAGTGAGTGGAGTGACATGATGTTTTTTTGCCTATAGACCAAGCCTAACAGTTGAGTTGTGAACCTTTTGTAGTTTTTCTATAAAATGTTGCATGTTTTTTGTTGATGGTTGTGAGAAGTGTCAGTATCATCCTTATATAATAATGTCTTATTCTTTGTGGTCTTTTTATAGCATGTCCTATGTACTTTATGCTCAATGCTTTTATGTTGGTCAAGTGCCAAGATACTTGCCTCTATGTTTTTGTCTTTGGCATAGTTAATTCTGTCTCTTATAAAGTGATTATGGTTTAGTAACTCTGTCTTTAATGCTGCACTTTTGGTCTGGATGCTCTAATTCTTTTAGGTAGGGCTTAATCTTATTTATCGCTTAGTTAATATTTTCTAGTCTGTGTTGATTAGTGATATGGGTCTATAGTTTTGTTTTCTTTTTGGGTAGTACTATAATGTATGATTCTCCCATATTAGTTGGTAGTTCTTTGTTCTCACACTCCTCGCTTAT